ATTTGAGATTTTTCATAAAAATCTGATATTGCCCAGATTTGCTAAAAATGCCAGGTTAACCTCTTTCAATCTGCAATTTTCCAGAGACATCTGATTTTGCCCTAATTGGGCAAAGGTAAACCTCTTATAATTTTGGAATTTTCGTACAAATCTGATTTTTCCCAATTTTGCTAAAAATGCAAGGTAAACCCCTTACAATTTGAGATTTTTCATCAATATTTAAATTTGCCCAATTTTACTAAAAAAGCAAGGTTAACCCCAAACAATTTGAAATTTTTCATTCACATCTTATTTTGCAAAATATCACTAAAAAAAGCAAGGTTAACCCCTTACAAACTGAATTTTTCCAGAAAGATCTGATTCTGCCCAATTTCGCTAAAAATACAAGGTTCGCCCCTTACAATTTGAAATTTTTCATAAAAATCTGATATTGCCCAGTTTTGCTAAAAAAGCAAGGTTAACCCCTTACAATTTTTGATTTTTCATACAAATCTGATTTTGCTCAAGTTTGCTAAAACTGCAAAGTTAACCCCTTACAATCTTAAATTTTTCATAAACACCTGATTTTGCCCTATTTTGCTAAAAAATGCAAGGTTAAACACTGACAATTTGAAATTTTTCATAAACATTTAAATTTTCCCAATTTTACTAAAAAAGCAAGGTTAACACCTTACAATTTGAAATTTTTCATTCACATCTTATTTTGCCAAATTTTACTACAAAAGCAAGGTTAACCCCTTACAATCTGAAATTTTCCAGAAAGATCTGATTTTGCCCAATTTCGCTAAAAAATGCAAGGTTCACCCCTTACAATTTGAAATGTTTCATAAACATCTAAATTTTACTAAAAATGCAAGGTTAACCTCTTACAAGCTGCAATTTTCCAGAAACATCTCATTTTGCCCAATTTTGCAAAAATGTAAGGTTAACGCCTTGCAAACTGTTAAATCAATACATGAAGTGTCCCATTTGACTTATTTTTTCAGTTTTTAGGGTAAAGGAATTTTCTCATTTCCTTTCTCTTTTGTTGTTGCTATATTTTGCGAATTAACTCATTCGTATGGAATGCTCATAGTCAATTAAAGAATATTTCACACATAGGGGCCTAAATTATATATTTTTTAATTTAATAGAGACGCATTGATCGTGCTATCATATACCATTCTATTACTATTGCGAATTACTGTATTGTTTGGAATGCTCACAATTAAAGACACGTTATTTGAAAGATGTATAAATAATATTTATATTACAATGTACATCTTTATTCTTTCCCGGTATAATTTATGGCGTTTCTTGCGTTAATTGGCAATCGCGTCATTATATAATGATAGCCAAATTGACCAAACGAAACTCCGTTTTGATTAAAGTCAATTATGAAATATTCATTGATTTATGACATACACCTTTGTTTCAATTTTGATACTACCCGTAGACCTGCCGAGCAGCTGTAGATATCAAACTAACCCAAAGTATAAAAGATAGAGGGTAAAAAAAATCAAAAAGTTATGTGCTAGTCAAGCTTTCAGGGATCGGTCTGAGCCATAACAATGCCCCAGCCGATCCCTTAGTTCTCTTCCGGGGTCTCGGCGTCCCCGACCAATACACACTTCCTTCCCTATCCATCCATATAACCCCGGAGGGCCAGGCGCCATGTAAAAGCAAAGAGCTAAGGGAGGAACAGGGCGGCACCCTAAGCCCTGATCCCCCGAGTGGACCACATGCCCTGAACCTGTACGAAGACGCCAACCTGGAACTCACGGACAGTACCAGCAGCAGTGCTTACCGATTAAGCTAAGGTACTGTTGGTATTTTACGACGGGAAATAAAACATCTTATATAAAGACAGAATGCGTGGTTTGAAAAGCAAAAAGTCACCGACGGGATTTGAACCCGGGCTCCGCGATTCGCGGACGATGAATCGAACCACTGGGCCATACGGCTTCCTTAGAATTCTTGTCAAAAACAATTTGTCTTAATACGCAGAGGAACGTGGAACATCGCCGTGTGCATCTGTTTTGGCTCCATGGACGAAAGTAAGTCGACATTTCGGGCAATAATTAGCAAACTCTTGTCGTTTGTTTGGAAATTACATACGGCTACCTCGTTAATCGTAGGATTATGTGTGCTAAACATCGTGTGCTTAACATAGTTACGCAACAATCTGAACACCATTAGGCAATTTTTTTAAAAAGGAATCAGGTGCGTTTAGGGGCGGATCCAGGGATTTTTGCGGGGGAGGGGTCCAGGCCCGTCAGATGTTTGTATCCGATTGATGCAGACAGGCGGACCGTGTCATTGTTATAATAATTATGAATATACTATGGGTGAGAAAACCGTTGGAGTCCCCAATCTGCAAGCCAACTTGCGTCGGACAACCGGTGGCTGGGCAGCGGCTTGTCGGCATCGGCACGCCGACCCAAACCATTAGCGGTCCGCCAGTGGTAGGCTAGTGGCATGCCTCCAGGCCAGTGGCCTGCCGCTCCAAAATCGCAAGCGGACCACCAGCGGCAATCAACGTCGTTCGTCACTGTCCCCAACAGTCCATCTTCAGCCAGTATTTTCATGAGAAAATAATGTCAACAGAATACGTTCTCATCCTTAATTTAAAAAAACAACCCAACAACATCAAAACGTGGACGAAAACAAAATTAACCACGACCCCAAAAAAACTGAAAAGAAAAGGAAAGATGATCAAAATGAGCTATTATTTTCATGGCGTCTCGAACACCTTGGAGAGTAACTTGTGAGTGTTTTTCCTGACTTTCTGAACTAAGTCGGGGCACTTATCATGAGTGAGTTTACTGCACCCATATAAAAGTGGACACTCATGGACACTCTCGGACAGTAGGTAGCGCTCTTCATCCCTGCCGATTGACGTGACACGCTTTTTTCCGACAGACCGATGTCGCCGGCCCGAATTTGCTCAGTCACGCGTCCCCGACTGGCTCGCTTCTAAAATCTCTAGCTGGTTGCAATTTGCCACCCTGCAACGCACCCAACACCCGCCCCTCCCCCAGCAACTATTTTTGAGCGATAATCGAAATACTGCATCGTCACGCACACATTTCATAAAGTATGACATTTTTAAAAGTTGGTGCGTAGCAGCCTCGACCCCAGAGGCGCGTGCTCGTTCCTTACACTAACGCGCAAGGCATGATGGGAAACATGGCGCTGCAAGATCGTACCCACGGGGCACGAGGTTGGGTGCGTAGGGCCTATACCTGCTTTTTCAAAAATTTAGATTATCTTTTCCGGACGAAATTTATAGGGAAAATACAACATTGGAAAACATCGAAAAATAAAACTACCAATTTGTTACGAAATACCTTGAGGATGTTGGTAACTGGCAGTCTTAAAAATCCTGTAAAATTATGGCACCTGGTGTGAAGTCATTTTCAAGAAAAATTATGGTACTTTTGTATACATTTCCAACGGTGGTCGGCCGACCACCGTTGCAAAAACTATTTTTCAACTACTGCTCCAAAATTTACCATTTTTTTCCAGTCCAAATTTTGTTTGCTTTTTAGTGGTTCCATGTTCATGAACGGGTGCAGGCCAGCTAGACTGGTTCCATTACCTTACAATTTTCCGACATTTTTGATCTATTTCATCTTTAGTGGAGTCAAGGAACCAGACTACTTGAACATTTGTGTTTTTTCTTGTTTTTTTTCCCCAGTATTTTCGAACGCAAAACTTCAAACATGTCAGTGTAACAATATTTGGATCTATTATACTAACCCCCAAATAGTTCATTTCTGAAAATTACAGCAAAATCCCATGATGTGCATGTACATTCCCTTTAAAGGACTATATTACATCCTGTAAGGGGCCATTCCAAATTCTCAACGTTTTTAAATTTGGATTTTTTTTTTCCAAATTGTTTTGACCCACTTACCCACCACTTTCATGCAGTATCAAAAATCCAAATACATGTACATGTACATGCGCTTTAATTGCATGCACACACATTCTTAAACACCGGCAGTCATGGACCCCCCTGGTTTTGTACACAAATTTCAATAGAAGACTATCGGTCAATTAAGTTGTGGACGTATTGTTTGTGTCCTTTCTGTTTTGTCCTTGGTCCACGATTGCCGGTGTGTAAATACTGGTGTGCACACAGTACATGTACAACAGGACCGTCTGTTGGTTTGTATTGGGGACAAACAGTTGGAAAACAAATGCACGCAAGGAACGCTGGTGCATAGGTATGTCAAAATATCTAGATTTTTTTTGGTTTTTTTCTTGTTTTTTTATGAAAGTGAATTTGGATTTTCAATTATTTACTTTGACCTACCCACCCACAATTTGGATTTTTTTTCTTCAAATTTAAAGGCATAGACAGTCTTTTGAATGGTCCCTAACAAAACACAGTTTTAAAAGTTGGTTTTAAATGGCGCGCTTCACTTGTAAAATTGCGCGCAATATTTAGAATTAACGAATAAGGAGCGTTCTGCACTCAATTATAAAGTTGAAATTTATTAGTGATTGCTTGAATTGACATGGGCCGTCTTTTTGTTTTCGTGCGATGTCTCATATGAAAGCTCACAGAAAGTTTTGATGTTTTTTGTTTAGTTCTATTAGTAAACAACATAGTTATTGAGGATCATAAGAAAGACTTTGTTTGGTGCGAAGTTTGAAGTGGTTTGGATGAGCTATCCCATTATCAACAATGGGTACTTCACTGGGGGGGTGGGGCTATTCCATTACCAACAATGGGATAAACAATAGCGCCGTTATTTCTACGTTTCCTTACTATAATTAAAAATGTGCTTTTCAACCTGTGAGTGTACGTGTGCGTTCAACCTGTAAAAACAACACCATTGCATGGCGTGCGTTGTTTGCACAAGAAGTTTTCACAAACGCTGCAAGCAACCAATACCAGCGGCCAAGCAATTTGCCCTTCCCGAACATGCACATTTTAGACGGGTACTGCACTAGTGATCTCAAATTCAAAAGCAGCGGCAGGCTATTTCAGGGAATTAAATCAAATGTTACCGCTTGGTGGCGCTATTTCCATCACTCGTAGAAATGGCGGCGCACAGGCGTTTCGTGGTTTGCGTTGTCCTGGTTTTATGTTCCCACTGTTTAAAGACAGAATGTTCATTAGACACGGAGGCTGATTTATCAGATGATATCGTCTTTCAATCAGGAAGCCATCAGACACTTAAGGTTGGCCCGGCAATACCAAGGAGGTGTGTAATCACGCGGCCATGCTTGGCAAGCCAAAGCAAAGATTGGCATTCATTATTATAGCCCCATAAATGTGGCCTATTTACTGGACTGCCTCCGTAAACATAGGCCACACGTCCACATGTACAAAAATCGTGTCGACTTTGCCAAATTTTGATTTTCACATTTAGGCTTAGTTTGTAGGATTTTTTTGCTTTAGAAGCATACTCACCCACTTTATAGGCTAGTCAGAAAGTGCTGCCTTTTTCAGATGTCTAATTTTTGTGAAATTTCATGTTGAAATTTTGATACGCAAACGTGTAAAAATGAATCTGGAAATTTCACGAAAAATATACATCTGAAAAAGGCAGCACTTTCTGATTAGCCTATAAAGAGGGTGAGTATGCTTCTAAAGCAAAAAAAACCCTACAAACTAAGCCTTAATGTGAAAATCAAAATTTGGCAAAGTCGACACGATTTTTGTACATGTGAATGTGTGGCCTATGTTTACGGAGGCAGTCCAGTAAATAGGCCACATTTATGGGGCTATCATTATTAATACTTTTTTTAATAGGCAGTGTATATTTTGCCGGAGACGGCAAACCTTTAGTAAACGTTAGTTTGCCGGATATGCACTGAACATGCGCAGTTACTGGTTTTTTTTGTACTTAAACATTTTCCGGTGACAGATTTTAGTCTGGCTCCATGCCAAAATTATCGTTGTAACCTCGTATTCACAAGATGGGATTCAGACCATTTTTATAATTTCGGACTTTATTTCCCTTTAAAAAAAATCCTCCAGAGCCACAAATCTGAAAAAGAAAATGTAATACTCTGCAAAAAAATGTTTGAGACATGTTAAAATAATAAAAGAAGAATATTCTTATTTATTTGGGGATGAGAAAAAACAACTTTAAAATGTGCTGCGGTCGGAATCGAACCCGCAGAATACCGCTTTCTACAGCCTTTGCTTAACCACTACACCAAACGTGCTGCACATCTTTTGGTGGGAATTTAATACATCTTATAACTCAGCCCTATCTTAAAGAGTACAGCGCCCTCTGTTGATATGGATTGCCGCCGGCAAACCTTTAGTAAACATTAGTTTGCCGTCATTACCTCCGGCAAAATATCCACTATCTTATTAATATTAGCCCAGGTTGGACGAAGTCCCTCCGTTACGTAGGGAGGAAAGGGAGTCCACCTGGGCTAGCATTCATATATACCACGATAACGTAACGCAACGTTAACTTACACCACAGTCATGACAGTTACACAAACAAGTTGCGCATGTGCTGCAGAAAGAACCTACGCCTATAAATATGTTACATGGAAATCAATTTGGGAAAATGTCCATACTAGCTCACCACTTTATTTGCTGCCAAACATATCAATTTTCACCTCACCTTGTGATTTCACCCAAGAGGAATCCAAGAAGGTGTGTCAATTCAAAAAAAAATAGGCAAAATGTGTTTTTAGAGCACATTTTGGATGCACACGTTGTGCAGAACTAAGTTGAAGCAGCCAGTCAACAGCGGTAGGTTATACGCATGACATCAACAACCATGACGTCGCATGAGCTAGCCAATGATAGTGCAATATGTCATTTTGAATATTTATTTTCTCATGAATATTTAGTTTATTTCAATAGCTACTTCAAATACATCCAAAGGTTGATTATGGCAACATTGATCAGTGTTGATCGTGCGCGACCTAGCGGTTTAAGAGTTTCATGTTTGCATCAAATTTTTACAATGTGCATTGGTATGGCTGTTGCCTGTCACTCAGAATTGGTCAAAAGTGCATGCATGCGGGCGCACTTTTGACCAATACTGAATGACAGGCAACAAGATTGCCTGGACTCGCCTCCAGTGATGTCTAAATACACTAGTCCCTCGTGTCATTTGCACACACACACACACACACAGTCTGTAAGTTTGAAGTCTGTGGAGGCGGACCGTGTGTTGGTCTTGAATTGGCCGCTGTGCACGGCCTATTCTACAATTTACGCTCCAGTGCACACCTTGGAGTATTGAAACATATTTTATGAGGTTTCGGCAAGAAATATCGTACAAATACTGTTGAAATGACTCCTGCGAATCAGTATTTGTAGCATTTGGCTGTACATCAGAAGTTGGCTGGAAAATTTTGCCTTTTGCGAAAATCGAAATTTTCGGCAAAAATAATCCCAGCACGAAGTGGTTTAAGAAGTAAGCTAGACATTTTTTATGTTTTACTATAGATATTTACTTTACCATGTCAACCACGGGGAAGGGTTCAATCTACGCCGGGATGTCTACATGCGGATAGCCAACCTGGTCCAGAGGCTGCAGCAAGACGGGGACTGGGTGCTGGTCCTACCCCCTTGGGGCCGACTGTACCACTGGAGGACTCGCTCCCTGGAGCAGATCCGCATACCCTGGGCCACATTCTTTGACGTGGAGAGCCTCAACCGGTACATTCCTGTCATCGAGTTTGAAGATTTTATAAAAGGTAATAAAAACCTGGTGTCTTAAGCCCGGTTCATACTTCACGCAAAAGCAAAGCGAAAGCTAAGGGAACTGCGTGACGTCAATATAACGTTTGAAGCGCGTCCACCATTGTTGACGATATGAGTTTCGCTTCGCACTTGCATTTGCATGAAGTATGAACCGGGCTTTAGTTGAGTCCATCACAAGTGTTGTGAAACTATTCTTTCTATTGTACGATTGCAAAATATTCATTATTCGCTTTATACAATGCCTAAATCAATACGCATTATCTGATTGGTATTTAAACTGTGTGACCATGCAGTGGAATTTTCTACATGAATTTACCGTGGAATGGAACTTCAATTTTTGCTTTGTGGTGGGGCCGTGGTTTGGAATGAATAATTCAGCGAAACATGATCAGCATACATTCTGTGCCAAGTTGTCCTTCCCGTCAAAATCAATCAAGTGACTGTTTTCAACAGTTATGAGCTCCCAGCCTATACATGAAGCAGGATTGACTGGCTGTGACTGTTGATGTAACTTGATACAGCTATGCTTGGACTGTAGGTGATTGATAAGCCAGCTGTGCCTACCACTTGCCTGTTTTTTTGTCTATTGACTGAATTTGACTAGTCACAGTGCTTGCTTGAAATATGATCTGATTGTTGGTGGCTAGCCTGTGTAAAAGGCATGGCAGGGGAAGAGGATTGATGTTTTGACTGTCTGTGACTGCTCAGATAGCAGGAGGGTAATTGAGGTGAATGTGCAAAAGAAGTATGGGAATCAGTCTATCACCTCTAAAGTACTGGATTTGTAACCTCTTTTAGGTTGCCAAATTTTGCTGAGCAACTAAAATTCTAATCGTTTCTTCCTTCTTGCCGGTTCCCAGAAACCGGCCAGGCGGCCATTGACCAGATCCTGTACCTCCAAGCCTACAAGGAAGGCTGGACCAACGGCAAGTGGGAGGAGAAGATAGATGAGAGGGAGTGCATTGAACCGCCGGCCTACCGGCTGGACGAGGCCGGGGTCTTCCGGGGGTGGTTCTGGGGCTACCCGGACGCCTATGCCAAGGCCTTCAAGTGCCTGTCCGTCCAGGGAATGGCCCGCATTCTGGCGCCGGTGCTGTTAAACAATTTCACAGCAAGGTGGGTTGATGAATTGTGACCGGGATTGTCACCAAGTCAGTCACAAGTCTTCAGAAGTCATCGCAAGTCATCATAAGTCAATCGCAAGTCAATCACAAGTCATCAAAAGTCAATCATAAGTCAATCACAAGTCCATCACTAGTCAATCACAAGTTCATCGCAAGTCAATCACAAGTTATCGCAAGTCAATCACAAGTCGGTTTGTTCCAGTTTATTTCAGGCCTGTTCACAAGATGGCTTAACTGAATTGACCCAACCTGAAAATTGCAAATGCAAAACCGAAACCGACCTGTCCCGACTGAATTGATGGAAAAACTGACCCGACCTGACCCGAAGTCGGTTTCAGGTCGGGTCAGTTTTGGTTTCGAGTCGGGTTTGCACAACATTAGTTAGTGGGGGGGGGGGGGGGCATAATGGATAAGTCTATAAGCTTGGATGATTCCAACATTTTTAAATCAGTTCTGATGTTGACCAGCAGTCAGGATTAAATTCACAATGGACTCGGGAAATTCCTCTGGCCAAATTAAAGCAGTGGGGAAAAGCTATTTCAAGTGAACTTGTATTGATTTTTTGAAATATACATTTTGCACAGCCCTGCCATTCAAACAAATTCTCAATCACAGTCAATTCTGAAAAAAAGTTAAGATTCTTGTTAACTACAGGAAAAAAAAAACACATCAATGCAGGAACTGACTCAAATAGGTGGAAATTTCAATTATTTGTGTCTAGGTCCGTCTTTGTAGATAGAGGCGAGAAAGTCATGCATGACCGATTTGGTGACGTCAGCTACTGGACTGTAAGTTGATATGGGTTTGAAAAATACAATCTTGGACAAAAAGACTCAAATTGTTCCCCCTCCTTTCTTGATGCAATTTTGTGCTGGTCCCTGAGGGCCAGCCTAGTGTCCTCTTTGCACCTATCTCACTGAGTGACTGACTGTCACTTGTGAGCCGGGCAGTGCTATCATATAGGATTACCCTGTGATACCAGTGTATGGGCTAAATCCATCCCATCCGAGACCAGATGCATGAAAAGAAAATGAAAAAAAGAAAACCTGCACTCAGAAAATAACTAAGAATCTTTCCAACAAGTCAGAGGAGACGGACAGAACATTAAACTTTTCTTACGCCCAAATTTGAAAGAAAAACAAAAGTTCAATTTGTCCAAGATTGTTACGTCAAGCACATTTTGTTTTGGTTTCTGTTAAAGTAACCATTCCTCAAGTTTTAGGGGATTGGTGATTCCTTTTTTGTTTGTTGAATATTTATTTTTCCCGTTGCTGTGTGCATTTCTCAGATCGGTCTTTGTTGATCGCGGGGAAGAAATACTGCACGATTACTATGGGCAGGTGCAGTACTGGACCGTAAGTGGCCATACTTCAAAATATTTCCCACAAAATATTTGTACATGACAGTTTTGTTGAATGGAACTAATTTTGGTCTGTAGAGTTTTCAAATGTTTGCATCACTTTCAGCTTAAGCTGCATGTTGGAAGAATCCTGTACTGAAATCTTGTTTTGAAGAATGGCCACGAATGGTGGAGTAGATACAAAGAAAAGCAATTTTTTTTTCATTTCAAATAAACCACAAAGTGAAACTGACTAGGTGAGTTGTACAGGGTGAGTCAAAAAAAGCGAAACCCAAATGTCGAGACCATCGTTTTAGTGAATTTCTGCATGTAGGATGCGAAAATCTAGAATGCAAAAGCCCAATTCATAGGCTTTATTTTAGTACAAGAATCATTCAAATCACTCATGTACTTTTCAAGTTATGGAATTTTAAACACAACCTCCATTTTAATGTTCTATCCACGGATCACAAGAAGGAAAGTGTTCTTTCAGCAAAACGAAAACAAATCACATAGGGATGTGTGTGAATTGTTTTTCGTTTTGCTGAAAGAACGCACACCTTTTTTGTGATTCGTGGACAGAACTTGAAAACGGAGGTTGTGGTTAAAATTCCGCAACTTGACAAGTACATGAGTGATTTGAATGATTCTTGTACTAAAAGAAAGCTTATGAATTGGGCTTTCATATCCTAGATCTTCAAAGTGGTACATGCAGAACTTCACTAAACAATAGTCTCGACATTTGGGTTTTGCTTTTTTTGACTCCCCCTGTATACTAATCTTAAAGTTGAACAAAGAAAAATTGACTGGAGCGGGATTTGAACTTGGGACCCCCGGATTGCTGTTCCGGTGCTTTACAAACTGAGCTGTGGCAGGATTCAAGCCCCTGACCCTCTGATCATGCGCCACAAACCCTAACCACTAGGCAACACATCCCACATTTTACGCCATCTGGGGTTACTGTATTTTGATTTTTTTACTCGTAGGTGAGGCGGTCCATGCGATTTGCCAAACATCTGCGGGACATCGGAGACGAATTCAGGGAAAGTAAACTGGAATCCACAGACGAGAAGGACAAGACAGTGATGACAGACAACTGGCGAGATATGGAGGTAGTAATAATAGCTATAGTTACCTGAGATTGCTTGCTTATTGTTTTCGTTCGAAGCACGACAGCAGTTTGGTGCTATGGCAAACCTTCCATCTTTTGACTCTCCACCACGCAAACTTTCAAAGCTTACTTAAAGGTAGAGTAGAGCATTTACAGCTATCCAAAAAGTAACTGACCAAATTATTGTTCAAAAGCTTACTTGGTTTAAAGATAGTAATGGCACTAAACGCTCTGTGAAATTATTCCTTCTGGTATGCTGTCAGTTTGAAGAAAATAAAAGAAGGCCAATTCCATGAATGGGTGCACGCAAGCATTGACACGACGCACACACGCGCGCCGTTGCTGTTATTTGTCGGTTCAGTTCAGTGCGTGACATCGCGTAGCTGCAATGGGCTGAATGAGAACGTGTCCAAATGCTGATTTTGGGCCCAATTCAAAACATGACTCGGCAACTTTTTAATAGAAATCAAGATCCTAAAATATTGTTTTCTCAGAATATACAGCATGCACAGAGCTAAAACTTCGTCAGGTTAGTTGTTAAGCACCCGTCTTTAGATTTTGAGCACTGTTGTTGCTTCAGGTGAAAAAAATGCACAAATGACAAATGATCTACCCTACCTTTAATAACCTGTTGAAGTTCCAGCACACTGGATACATTTTGAGAAAGCAGAAAACATGTGCACAATTTTGTGAGTCTTGAAATTGGATCCCATTGGTGACGCATATAAGAATATGTGCATGCGGGCACTACATTTTGAAAAACCGCATTCAATGTTAGCCTTCTTCCAAACGACACCATTTCAGGCGGAATAATTTCACAGGGTATTTGGTACCAGTCCTATATCTTAGTCCTATATGTGCATGCGGGTACTACATTTCGAAAAACCACCTTCAATGTTAGTTTTCTTTATTACAAACGACAAGCATTTCAGGCGGAATAATGTCACAGGGTAATTTGATACCTGTCCTATATCTTCACTTTTGAGCAAGTTTCTTGTCATTAAATCGGTGTGTACTTTTCCAGGTATTGCAAATGTTCGTACCTGCCTTTAAACTGTTTCAAATGTGGAAAGTAGCTTTTTACTCTAACAAAATCTTTGAAATGATTAGGTTTGGCACAACGTGGGAACGCCATTCTGGAACAAGTGTAAGCAAAGAGTCTTTGTAGTGCAAATGAAGCCTTGTATGTCAACGATGTACAGGTGTGTTAAAAAGTTATAAATGTGATTTTGACAGAGAAAACCAGGCTCGGCAATCGGAGGACCCTACCTTGCGGCACACCTAAGGAGAGAAGATTTCGCTCGCAACAACAGGAAAGAAGTGCCTACGCTTGAGAGGGCAGCAGACCAGATCAAAGTAGCCCTTAAAAAATATAAACTCGAGAAGGTTTTCGTAGCTACTGATGCACCTAAACATGGTAAGCGCATAACTTTCCCATCAGCACGTTTTCAGACCATGTAGTGTCTGATGTTTATTTAGGCTAATAGTTTATATATTTAGTCCTACATACACAACAGACACAAGCTCAGCTTTTGTCTGATGAGAACTAAACAAAGAGTGAATTTATTCAAACAGTAAGTCTGGCGTTTCTTCACAGAGACAAAAAAATCATGTCAACACAGCCTTCTTGACCTTGTTTTGTATACGATTTCCCTCAGTATCAGTTTGAAGATACACCATGTAGTAATGAGAATCTCTAAGGCGGTAAAGCAGTGCCGTAATGGACTTAGAGGTCTTCTAAGCATTTCTAGGGTGTTCTTGTCATCTGCTAGTGTCACCTAAGCCAATACAGACACCAACTGTCTGTGAAAAAGTTGATTTTGCAAAAATTAGGGGGGGGGGGACCTTGGTGCTTGCTGTCCTTGGAAGTAATTTAGTTTTCAGGATGTTAAAATGGTTTATATCCTCAAAAGTATGAAATTGAGCATTATTTGCATGTGGAAACTTCCGTCTTTTTCTTTTTTTTAAACACTCTGTACTCGGTGTTGTCAAAGGACTTAAATTCACAAACTTGCCGGGTGGGACTCGAACCCACGACCTCCTGCTTACTTGCGCAAAGGTCTCACCCTCAACCATCAAGCTTGCTAGGATTGTTAAAAATGATAAAAAAATGGATCTCGGAACCTCCTTTGTCCCACCAAATTCTGCCCCTGTCGTGTTCACCGTTCTGTACTCGGTGTTGGAAGACTAAAATTCACAAACTTGCCGGGTGGGACTCGAACCCATGACCTCCTGCTTACTTATGCAGTGGTCTTACCACTCAACCATCAAGCTTGCTAGGATTGTTAAAACAGAAAAGATCAAAGAATAGATCTCAGGACCTCCTTGGTCGCACCAAACTCTGCCCCTGTCGTGTTCACCGTTCTTTGTCTGCCAAGCAACTTCGCTTTTCTCAAATGATTTTTGCAGAAATTGAGGAGCTCAGGAGGCACCTACAAGACTACCAGGTGTACAATTACGTCCCTCCCAAAGGCGTCCTGGAGAACTTCAAAGATGGCGGAGTGGCCATTATAGACCAGTGGATATGCGCTCATGCAAGGTAACCTGTCACAGAAAACGTTAACGTGTCTGTGCGATTAATTTTTCTTCGGAGGACATTTTGTGCAACTTTCTACTCCTCTTAATTGTATGGAAACTATTTGACATCCCTTTTTGGTTAATTTAATTGAAAAGTGTATTTCTTTAAACATTTAAAAATAATTCCATGCTTTTTTGGACAACCGAGGGCGTTGTTTCTGTGATGTCATTTCAAGAACACACTGTTCAGTTTAAAAATTCCTCCCCCCTCCCTTCTCAAAGGTATTTTATAGGGACGGGCGTGTCCACGTTCTCCTTCCGCATCCACGAGGAGAGACAGATCCTGGGCTTTGACACCAAGATGACCTACAATCGATTCTGCGGGCACAGCGAACCGGAGGACTGTGAGCAACCATCTGTTTGGAAGATAGTCTACCATTAACAATGGTGTAACATCGGTGGACTTTGTGCGAGAACAGTAGATGGGTTGTTCTATACATTTGGGGTCCACTTTTTTTCCTGCCCTTGTTAATACATCCGACTTTTATGATTTTATAATTCTGATAGACTCATTAATGCAGTCATCTTCCAAGAGTGATTTTGAATAGAAAACTACATGTACTAACCCAACAAAGAAGTTATCCTTATTGATACTTAAATGGCAAATTACAATAAGTAGTAAAGTCTGTCACAAGCCAATGTGGCCCATCTGGCCGGCGATTATCTCCGGTTGCAGTAGCATGAAACGACTGAGAATATTTCTGTTACCCCTGGATGGGATGCCGGTCCATCGCAGGTTACTCCCCGGCTAATGCCGGCACCCATTTGTACTCCTGGGTGGAGAGAGGCAAGAGGAGCTGAAGTGGCTTGCCCAAGGACACAACATGTGGTCAGCAGCTGGATTGGAGCCGCTGACCCTCTGATCATGAGTCACGAACTCCAACCACTAGGCCATGAACACTTCCCCAAATTACAGGGACAGGAAAAAATGTCACTCTTTGAACCCTGAAATTATAGAATGACCAATATTGGACTGTGTGACAGTTTACAAGAGCTTTGGTGTGCGGGACACACTGCATATGCGCACTGGTACGTGTGCGTATGGACTCCTTGCGCAAACACTAGATGGCGCTTCGTCACCACTCGTAAGCAGTGGCGTAGCCAGGAATTTTCAGTGGGGGGGCGCTGGGGGGGGGGCTGGAACATTTCATGGGGGGGGCGTCATGTAGATCAATGTTAATGTTTTTTAGAAACTCAAAATCTCAGTGGGGGGCGACTGGGGGGGGGGGCGACAAGGTTTCATGGGGGGCTGTCGCCCCCCCCACGGCTACGCCACTGCTCGTAAGGCTCCAGAGGGAGGGACACGATGTGTATGCACAAAGCTTCTTGTGCAGATTACGTACTACTTATTCTATTTTCGAATGTGAGCCCAACTCTTCGTGTGAGAGTCAGGCACCATCGGCAATGCATTACATAGTCCCTCCTGACTTTCTCTTTGTAACCGTTGAGGGGGCACTTGTGCACGGATTTCATGGCATGAAGTAGGCATAACTTTTTTATCATCTTGTTGAAAACAAACCTGTATAGGGTTCGATTGTATGATGTCAATGTACCACACATGACCATCTGGTTTCTCAGTGACCGGCCACCATTGCAGTAGGCAAGCATTTAGTTAGCAACCACGTCGTGCGTTGTAACCTAGACATAAGGCCTTATTTTGATGTAAAAATAACTGGAAATCTTTATCAAATAAAATGGCGTGATGGTCATTACCTGTGTCATACGGTTGTTATAATCGTTTCACCCAGCATGGGGTGTTGGCTACGAGTTTTTCTCACAGTTTTTGCCATCCATCACAGCTCTGAAGGCTTGCCTACTACTTATCACTACACGATTTTTGCCTACTACAATGGCCACGCTGACTTTCCGGTACCCAGATGTAGGCCAGGTCATGTGGGTCGGTCAGTGAGAGAGCCCATATTATGCAAGTGTTGGGCACACAGTGGCAATTGTGTTCAAACGCTTGTTATCTCTCTATTGTGGAGGTTCTAATGCACAAAGTCTATAAACCAGTATTATTTTTGTGTTAATCTATGTTTTGGTAGGCTTAAATTATTTGTACACATGCATTTTAAGTATTTTTTATGTCCATACATTTCACTTCCTTCGGTGCTCAAAATATTGTTTATAAAGCGATGAATAGGACTTGAATTATTGATGAATACTCACTGTGTGCTGAATATTTTAAACCGTTCTCAAAAGAGGCTTGTTACAATGCCTGTGCAGTATGTAAGTTAGTCATCGGGTTCTATACTCTTTGACGCTTTTTTTAAATGATAGGTTTTTCGAGTAGCCATTCAATTTTTTTTTAAATTATAAGTGGCATCGAATCAGAAATCCTAAAAGTTGCGTTCCAGTGCTTATTTCGAGTTTCATACCAAAATATAGATTCCTTTTCAAATTGCTTTTGTTCTTGCAATACAAATATTGTTCAATTTTGAACAAGACATCGGCCCCCAAAAAAATATCGGCCTATGTTTAGTTATTGAATTATTGCTTTACAATTTCAAATTCGATGGTTAGGCTGGTTCCCTGCTCACAGTCAGTATCGATAATGTAGTACAGATTGGGAGCCAGTCTGCTCACAAAGTGGATCTGTTTGTACCCAAAACAAAACAGAATTTTTCAGAGGGTTGTAGACCTCCAAAAAAAAAAAGGAGTAAAAAGGAGTTTTTTTGGTTGGATAAAACATACAAGTTGAAATTTATAAAAAAAAAATAAAACTAATGACGGAATGCAACTTTTACAACATGTAATTATGTCATAACTATGCAGTTTTGTTTTTTTGTTGAGTTTTTGTGCTTTGCATGGAAGACAGTGATATAGCCTTTTAGTATTAATACTTTTGGGGGGATTTTTTGGTCATATGCATTTACAGGTTCCTCACGTTTTAAAAATTTAAGCTATTAACATTCTAGTTAACTTTATTTATTTTTTTTAAGAAAATTGATTTTGTACTTAACTCGCTTAGATTTAATGCAATAAAGTTATAGATTTTTTCCCCAACACTGCGACTATACACTTGCCCATATAAGAAAGACTTTTTTTTTTACATTTATTGTAATTTATTGTAATTTACAGGGTTCTTAATAAACGTATTGTCTTCCTGCCTGTTTAAGTTGTTTACAAAGGCTGATATTTAAAACCACAATGTTTAATACACATCACATTTTGGCCAATGTACAGCTTTAATGTAAAGCGTTCATATACAACTTTATATTTTTTTACTCTTTTAAAGAGTCAATACTACCAACAATTGTTTAATTCATTGTCTGCAATCTGTTCAAGTTCAGTTTCTCACTTTAAATGTTTATACTAATTACTAAAGCGTTGAGAGGAATTGATCTCGAATAAAAATATGCAAAAATGTCAAGACATGTAGAATTCCACGCTTTGAAGTGGATTTTCCCAATAAACGTTGACCAAGAAATGAATACATTTCTAGATGCCTGTGGTTTGCGAAGCGATCGGGTCATGTATCCCTGTGGAATGCGCTTCATGTTTCTTCGTTATTTGAATGTTCTTTATCCCATGACGGACTTCGGGACATTTGAGCTCATATTTTTCTTTCTCGGAATGAAAATGATAGCACGTAAATACCATGGGCCCCAGTCCGGGCCTCTTAACACACCACTGCGAAAACATTTGTGGCGAGTGACATGTTACATCTTGCGATCAAAATCAAAATGGTTGTTTCTTAATACTGCAAGTTGAAAACGATAAAATATGTCACACGTGTTCCTTAAGTGTGCATGTGTCATGAAGCGAAACTTTCCAGTCATGCTAAACTCATGTACAGGATCTGTTTTGTGTAAGTATCAAGCCGGAAAGGTTTAGCAAAATTCTTAAAATCTTGGAAAAATAGTGTTGAGTTGTTCTGCATGAAACAAAATTTAAACATAACAGACTTTATTTAAATGTAGCTGAACGACCTGTCATCATTCTGAAAAAAAACTCAAGAGATATTCTCAACAACTGATATCACTTAGAATGTTTACAAGCTTGGCACAACTATGGAAAGAAAACAAAACTGCGAAAGTCTGAGTTACTTGGAACAGTTTTGAATTTTGGTTAGTAATGTAGTGAAGACATTTAGAGTTCTCGGTGACAAACTTGTTGAGTCCCACATGTATTTTTGGGCACTGAGGGCAATACTTATCCAATTTTCCTCGACAGTTCTACTTCTGATTGTGAATCGGATTAACCCTGTAAACGTTTGTGGATCAAAATCTTTGGGAACGTGGGATAAAATAAGGCCAAACAATTATTGTGTTGCACCAGAACGATCGCTCGTAGTTGGGATTAAAACTTAACCAGCCCTCAGCCAAGGTCAAGTTGATTTGGTGCCGTCTGAATGAATTGCTTGATTTGTGTGTACAAATTTGTATTGATTGCGCCAATACTGTTCTTTTGTGGGCAGCTGAAATGCCGACGTTGTGTTTTATATCCTCAATGCCCGAGGGAGGGTATGAACTCGAACCAAGTCTGAGGACGTTCACACCTTGCCCAAACAATTCTATTCTGGTTTCTTACATTGTATTATTGAAACAACGAACCAGGTTTGAGTAATGTAACCGTACACCCCCCCACCCCCCCCCCCCCCCCCCCCAAATGGATACCTGGGAAGGGTTGGTAATTTTAGAACTAAAAGCCACAACAGTTTGTGTATGTACTTTTACATTATTTTGTTTACAAATAATAGTGATGTTGTGGCCGCGTGCTGCCAACTTTTAGCCAACTGTATTCTCTTCCGCACTGCATGGTGTAACTCTTGAAATGTGTACAAGCATTACATTCACTTGTGTGGACTTCCGAACAAAAGAGGTCCACACAAACCAGGTAGCATCGACGTTGTGTGGGCTTGCCCACGTCCACACAGTGTTTCCCCCTCGCTGGAAAACGGATTTAGAGGCATTTTTGGGTTAGGTTTATCCGTGGCAAATTGAAGAGAAACGCTAAATGGAATCATAGGGAAAAAAATGGGTTGTAAGAGTTTTCACAGGACGGTGAGTAAAATGAGTTTTTTTCACAGGTTTTTCTTAACTACACGAAAACAAAAGAATGTCCACACTACGTATGTAACGTATGCTAGGGTGTGTGTGTGTGTGTGTGTCTGTTGGGGGGGGGGTTGCCCAATTTCTGTTAAACTCCTTAACTATGCTGCTGTATATTAGACTCTTTCTCTATAAATTTGTGAAATATTAATCAAGAAGACTTGTAAGTGGTGGGGTTTGGGGCGGTGTTATGGCGGATTTACGGGGGGGGGAGGGGTTAGGAAGTATCACACGGCCCCTTGGGCCTAAATACATTAGGAAAATCACGCAGACAAAAGTAGGACATGCCAGTTACTCCCCCTCCCCTTTAGAGCTAATCCCCTCCCCCTTGAGCCGTAGCTAGTTTGAGCGTGAAGTTGACTGTCCTCGAAGGAAGGCGGCGGGTCCAAAAATTGCCTGGGCTAATTTCACCCAAGCAAGGGTGAAAACTGCAACTACCCAAAATTGGGTTGTCATTTATACCCAATTTTTTGGGTTAACCCAGGCAATTTTTCAGTGGCACATCTGACGTAATAAGGGG